TCATGAGTCCTTCGGAATTTTAGTTGGTCGTTGTGTCTTTCAAAGTTGATTATCTTTACAGTATAGCTGCTATTATATGAATTATTCTCTGAGTTCTGCTCATTCCACTTTGCATCAGTTCATACAAGTCTTCCTAGGTTTTTCTGAAACTGTTGCCTTCATCAATTCTTACAGTATAATAGTATTTCATCAAGATCACATACCATGGGGGCAGCTAGGTGGCACATTAGATAGAACTCCAACCTTCGAGTCAGGAGGACCTGAGTTCAAATCCAGCCTCAGACCCCTGACACTTACTAGCTGTGTGACCCTGGGCAAGTCACTTAACCCCGATTGCTTCACCAAAAAAAGCAAAAACAAAACAAAAAACAAACAAACAAAAAAAGATCACATAGCACAACTTGTTCAGCCATTTCCCAATTGATAGGCATCCCTTCAGTTTTCAATTCTTTGCCTCCACAAAAAGAACTGCTGTAAGTATTTTTGTATATTTGGGTCATTTTCTTGTTTCTTTATTCTCTTTGGGGCATAGACCCAGTAGCAGTATTGCTAGGTCAAAGGGTATGCGCAGTTTAATAACTTTTTTGGGTGTAGTTCCAAATTGTTTTCCAGTACAGTTGGACTAATTCATAGCTCTCCTAATAATGAGTTAAAGACCTGTTTTCCCCATTCACTCCAGAATTTTTTATTTTCATTTTTATCACCTTAGCCAATCTGATGGGTATGAGATGAAACCCCAGAGTTGTTTTAATGCGTATTTTTCCAATTATTATTATTATTTGGAGTATTTTTTAAAAAATATGGTCATTGATAGCTTGGATTCCCTTGAAAACTGCCTATTCATAGCCTTTGACCATTTATCATTTGGAGAATGGCTCTTTTTCTTATAAATTTGACTCAGTTCCTTGTATATCTTAGAAATGAGAACTTTACCAGAGAAACTTGCTGCAAAGATTTTTTTGCCCAGTTTTCTTCCAATTTTAGCCGCACTGGTTTTGTTTGTGTAAAACCTTTTTGATTTTATATAATCAAAATTATGTTTTCCCTCTTGCATACATCTCTCTCTCTTATATGGTCATGAACTCTCCCCCATCTATAGATCTTACAGGTAATTTCTTCCATGTTCCACTAATTTGTTTATGATGTCACCCTTTATGTCCAAATCATGTAAAATGGGTATCTACTTGTAGCATTCTAATTTTATGATTAAGCTCTACTTCACTCCCTTCCCTTCTAGCCCACACCAAAGCTAGATCCTGGGATTCTCCTTTTATTGATGTAGTCTTAAAAGTATTTTTCATTTATTTTTCCCTATGTATACTATATAAGAATGTGGTTTAAGAATCACTTTCACTCCCTCACTATCTTTCACTATCTCTGTCTGATTAACCTTCACTTGTGGCACTAATTTCAAGAAAAATTATTTAATTTCTCCCAACACCTTCCCTTTAGTCTTGCTGATGTTCAAATTCTGTTCTCTTTTCAAGACATTCTTTCCTTAAATTCTTAGCCTTTGTTTTTTCAGTGACCTTTATGCCAGTTTTGACTTAAACATTATAAAAACACTTATTAGTTCCTTAAGAATGTTAACATTTAATCCTTCTTTGCATTCAATTCTAGATTATTTCATTTAAATTTCATCTGTTTCACCAATTTTTATGTCAAAGGTTCTGCCTAGTTCTGGATATCTCATTGAGAAATGACTGAAGTTTATGATATTACAAAAGAATCACCTTTCCCCATGTTGGAATAGCCTTACTTTTCCAGGATTGTTAATTTTATAGACTGATTTCCCTTGCTTTTCAGCATGTCAAATTCTGGCCTCTCCTTTAATTTCTTGTCTTTGCACCATTTGAATAGGTGTTTGCTGATTTGTAGCTTGCTTCCTATCAGCTACTTTCAAGACTGATTGATTGCTAAACTCTGAAATCTGATAACTATATTTTTGTTAAATTCTCTATGTTGGCAGCCTATGGATTCTAATAGATTTATTTTCTAAATTATTCTCTAAATTTTCAATACATCTGGGCAGTTTCTTTATATGACCTTCAGACTGTTAGCCTCTATTTATTTTTCTGAGAGACCTAGAATTCTCAGATGTATCTCTATTGCTTTGGTCTGTAGAGACTGGTAGTCTCCCTGACATATTTTTGTCATCAAAGGAAATTAAGATTTCCATTTTGGCCAGAAGATGGAATGAATATTTGTGGAAAATGCAGATAACATGGAAAAGTCTGCTCAGAACAAAACACTGCATGGTGAAAAAAGGTGAGTAGAGAGATAGGCAGAAGGAATAAGTTCAGGTACAGGAGGAGGTACAAGGGGAAATGGGTTTCATAACTATGTTTATTCTATCCTTTCCAGTGTGATAACCATTGACTATCATAGAGAAGACCTCCTGAGAAAAGCTAAAACAAAAAAAAAACCAACAGAGTCAGGGAATCCTTTTTTCTCTTTGTGGTCTGTTACCACTTTATCATCTGGTATTACAAGTAGTCCTACCCCTAACAATTGGAAATTAAAGGGATGCCCGTCAATCAGGGAATGGCTAAACAAGCTGTGGTATATGACTGTGATGGAATATTATTGTGCTATAAGAAATGATGAGCAGGATGATTTCAGAAAAAAACCTGGAAAGACTTAAACATGAACTGATGCAAACTGAAGTGAGTAGAACCAAAAAAACATTGTACACAGTAACAGCAATACTGAATGATGAAGAACTGCGAATAATTTAGCTATGCTCAGCAATATAATGATCCAAAACAATTAGTCTCAAAGGCCTAATGATGAAGAACTATCCACCTCCAGAGAAAGAACTGATATTGTCTGAATACAGACTGAAACATGCTATTTTTCACTTTCTCTCTTTCATTTTTTTTTTTAAAAATTTGAGTCTTCTTGTACAAAATGACTAATATGGACATGTTTTACATAACTGCACATGGAAAACCTATATCTGATTGCTTACCATCTTGGGGAGGAGAGGAAGTGATAGAATTTGGAACTCAAAATTTAAAAAAATCAAATGTTAAAAAATTGTTTTAACATGTAACTGGGGAAAAATAAAATATTATATATTAAAATTAAAGAAAAAAAGGAGCCCTACCCTTCTGTGTTCTTCCTCTTCTTCTGAGCACGGCTCAATGTTTCTGTGTTGGCTGCATTTTTTCTTTTTCTTTTTTTGCAGCCTTGCTTCATTCTAGGTTTGAGTCTTCTTGACAGTGTTCTTGTAGGTTCATCCCATTTCTTTCATTCATCTTTCTGATTTTTGTGCATGTACTTCTAAATGATCTAATCAAAGAACTTTCTGTGACTCCATAGCTTTATCTTTAGACAACTCCTCGTTTCCCCCTCATCCAGGATGGAATAGGACTAAACCTGTGATTCATGGATGCAGGGGACTTCCAGAGAGGATATTCCTTTCACCAATGTTGAGAGGCATCTTCTCAGGAGACTGAGAGCTTAAATGACTTGTTTAGAGTCACATGGCCAATAAGGAGCAGAGATAGGACTTGAACTAATGTCTTCCTGATTTCAAAGGGTGGTTGTCTATCCACTGGACCATGCTATCTCTACAATTTGTGATTTTATTATTAGAATTTTGTTTCTGAGAGCCTATCTTTCCCTTTGAGAATCTCTGGCCATGTGATCTTATCTTTTCTCTGAACTCTTTGAAATCTGCTCTCTGAAAGTCCAAGGTACAAATCCAGCAATGTACAGGATTTCCTTTTCTGGCAATTCTTAACTCTAAGATGACATGGTTGTTTCCTCTTCTCCACATTCTTGGGTTATGCTGGTGGGGTCTTCAGGGGGTATTATGGAAAGGGACCCCATTTGGAGTAGGGTCATTACTGCAATCAGCCCAGGAAATCAAAGGGGACAGGCACCAGGCTGCCATGGGGGAATGTGAGGGACTGTCTGATGTTGGCAGCTACCAGGTTGGGCGCTGTGGCAAGGGTAGGGTAGGATCTGGGTATTTTGGAAATCGAGGCAGGGGCTGTGGTAGGCAGAGTCGTGGTGAACTGGGATGGGCTGGATACAGAGAAGCCCTGAAGCAATGGGCAGTGCTTTGTGAGATAAGCTGGGTGCAAGGAAGAGCGCCCAACCTGGTAGCTGCCAACATCAGACAGTCCCTCACAGGGGAAAGTCTGGGAATCTTAACTAGGGGATTCTAGCCGGGGTGCCAGGCATAGGGGAGACAGTGGTCAGCGAGAAAAGGACCCAAAAGAAGCTTCGAGCTCTGTCTGCTTCCATGCTTGGCCACTGCCTACACAGCCCCTGTCATTTCCATATCACCAACTTCCTTGTTCCTCAGAGTTAAGTCCAGAGAAGTAGTTTCCTTTGTTGCTTCCTCTCTCTGCTGAAACATGAAGTAGTCAGCAAGACAAGGCCAGACTTCCTCAAGACGCTCTGCTTTTAGCAGAAGAAAGCTTCCAAGCTGAAGCCTGGGGGGGGAGGAGGTGCCACAAGATCCACCTGTCTGTGCCACAGTCCACTGAGGTCCTTCACTAGATATAAAACCGCTTGGTATTCCACAAACCCTACCCATGTTTGGTCATAGTCCAGCAACTGGAAATCGTTATGCTCTGTCTTGCCTGTGCTTCACCAGTATGGTGCAGACTGATATTCAGAATGACACTTCCTAAGCCCTGTCAGCTTGTGACCCACATTATGAATATAAAAAAATGAAATTATGTTTGGCATTGTTTAATTAATTAAAATAATTAATATTTTGCTGTATAATAACTCATTTATATAGCAGTTTATGGCTTATGGAGTATTCTCCATTCTTTGATTATTTTCTTCATAAATCTTTTACTATTGGGAAGCCATGTAGGTGATACATAGCAATTCTACTAATAATCAGAACTACTGACACGCTAGAATCTCCCATCCCCAACCATGCCATTTGCTAGTCTTTCTCTTATACCTCTCACCCTGAATCCTGCCCTATTCCTATGGTAGCCTTTCCTGTGTCTGTATTGGGGGTACTGTACTTGGTTCCGATCTGGCACTGGAGAAGCTGCTGAAACACTGTGAAGGAAGAAGGAGATGGAGATGCTCTTGGTCTGTCCCACTGTCTTGGAGCCAAGCTTTGAAGAAACTCTCTATGCTCACAGTGTCATTTTCGATGATCTGAAGTTCAATGTCAATGCCCAGGATGGAACACTCTGCAAGAGAGAGAAGCAATTTCCAAGTTCATTTTCTAATTCTCCCACATAAGGTAATAGAAAACACTTAAATCAAAACACTGGTTGAGTGTGTGACTTAAGGAGACAAAAGACCATTTTTTAAATTTGTGAAGCTTCCCATATCCACCAGTTAATCAACATATCTTTTTCTAAGACCTACTATATACCCAGCAATGCACAGGTAGGAAAAATTTTGGCCAGTAAATCAATATGTATTTGTTAAGATACAGTTGCTTTGTTTGCTGGCTTTTGCTCAAACTTTTCCTCATTACAAGGGAGCAGTCAATGGGTGGGTATATTGGAAATTAATTCTGATTAAAAAAGGCATAAAGAAAAGTTATCAGGAAAAAATAAGGGAAAAATCAATCTATTGAGCACCTAATTTGTACTAGATGTTGTGGAAGACTGCAAAGGAGGAAAAGACAATGTCTCTGTCCTTAAAGGTCTTACAATCGAGTTGGGAATCAGATATGACAGTTTATAATTAAATGCTAAATTGTGCAGTACGCGTTACAAACAATACAGGAATTGATAGAAGTGCAGCAGATCACAAAGGCTGCAGCAGTCAGGGGATGTTTCATTGATAAGGTGATAAGGTAGAGCTACATTCATTCACTGAGTGCCTACTATGTGCAAGGGACTATGGTAGGTATTGAATGGGATAAAAAGGTTGTTAAAATATGGATTCTGCCTTCAAGATGATACTCCTACTTTATTCTTATTGGTTCTCCATGTCATTCTCCACAATGACTATCCCCACACTTTTCCATTTTCCTCAAACCTTCAACTTCCTATGGAAAGAAAGGGATGGGAATAAGCATTAGAGCCTAGTATGTGTCAGGCACGTATTAAGCACTAACCTCTACTTACACCCCCCACTCTTAATAACAGGTGTCTGAGCCTTTTCCTCCATTGAGAAAACTGAGTTAAAAAAGAAAGGGAGCTCTTTCATCTCTCCTTTGCTCTTCAAAAATTCATTCCCCATTTTTTCTGCTTTCATTCCTGTCTAGTTAATTCAAGTCACCAGTCCCCAATGAACCACATCCCAAGACACTGAAAGAAATGTAGATATGATTGCTGAGTCATTGTTAGTTTTGATCTTTGAAAGATTATGGAGGAAAAGAGGTGTTGCAGACCTCGAGAAGGACAAAGGTTGTCTTGATTAAAAAAAAAAAGAAAACAGTAATAGAGAATGGAGATTACAACCTATAAGCCTATGAGTTTGACTTGTATTTTTGGCAAAATTTCAGAATATATTCACTTAAACTTTTTTCAAAAACTAAGTTTACTTGAATTTCTAGTTACCCAGTACTTATTTTCTCTCCCGCCCACACACCCCCAATCAGAAAAAGGAAAGAAAACCCTTGTAACATTTTGCATTGTCAAGCAAAACAAGTTCCTGCCTTATCCATGTCCAGAAATATACACCAGCAGCTCTGGTGAATGCTATGAATAGTTTGGCTAGATTTTAGCAAAGTATATAGGTAGCAAATAGCAAAGGATTTCAGACTCAGTCCTCTAACTTTCCACTACACGTTTGACCAAAGTTCCTTATATTATTCTTACGGATATGACAGAGATAAGGAAGGACTAGACGGATTCAGAACTGGCTGAATGGCTGAACTGAAGAGTGGTTAATGATGGATCAACGTCACCTTGGAAGAAGGCCTCTAGCTGAATGCCTCAGTGATCTGTACTTGGTCTTGTGCTATTTAATACTTCCTTTTATCAATGACTTGCATAAAGGCTTGAATAGTATACTTACTAGATTTGCAAACAACTGGGTTGATCAGGGGCTTTCTACAATCAGCCTGATGAGTTTATAAGGAGGTAAGCCTTTGGAACTTTTGATTTCATTTCCTTATACAGAGTGGACATGTCTACTGGTACCTCATTTAGAGGATAAAAGATATCTGCTTGGGTTTCAGTGAATGGGGCTACCCCAAGATAAACTGGTTGTCATGGAACCATCCTTGGAGCCTTCTGGAGGCTGGTTTTCACTGATTAGAGCTGCCACCAAGATAAATTAGTTGGGTCTCATTTTTATTTGATGAATTATTTTGGGAGGAACCAAGTCCTTTACTCTGGCTTAGTAGAGAAATGACAGACCATGTTAGACTGCTTTTCGCCTTTTTCCCTTCTGCTGTTCTTGGAGAGATAGCCTAATAGTTCAGCTCCCGAGGGGTTGTTAATGGCAGCTTTGTGCCATGGCAGAAGGGAGCATGTGCTTTTGCATGGGGTAGGAGAATTTCTTCAATAATGCTAATTTTGGAGATGATTTACAAGAAACTCTTTTAAGTTAGAGGGAACTCGAATCTGGCTTTTTAGCCAAAGTAGGCAGAATCTAGGCACTCACTCATTTGGCCAGAGGTGGGAGATTTCTTGGGCAGACACAGATTTAGGGTTGCCTTATAAGAGAACCCAAATTCAGGAAACCAGGAATCTAGCCTCCCAGGATACCCCTATGCAGCTTGCTATTGGAATCTAGTTTTTAAGGGAGAGAGAATGGATATTTTTCAGGCATCATTAACCTTGGAGGTAAATGGCTTCTGAATAGCTTCTGAAGACCAAAAATTTAGGTCCTGGCCTTTAATTCAAGGAAAGGCAATCTCCTAAGCACTGTACTACTTTGAAAGAAGATTGTCCATTTGGCCCAAGCGTGGCAGAAGGTTAAAAGGCTAGCATGGGGAAACAAAAGATCTAGATTTTACTGTTACTGTGAGTTACTGAGGTTTCTGTTCCTGAGGAGGACAAGCCCTCAAGACAAGTCTACAAAATGCAATAGAGACTTATTGTAGTATTGGGCTATTGCCTGCTTAGCTTGCCCTAAAGTGTATTTTTTTTTTTCTGGGAAGAGTCCAAACTATCTAGTGGTAGTAGGAGGCTGAGGGGAACTGTGTGGAAAGGTGGGATCCACCAGAGGCCAAATTTGAACTCAGGTCCTCCTGACTCCAGGGCCCATGCTCTATCCACTGCACCCACCTAGCTGCCCCCTACTGAAAATCCTTTGTGTGTTTTCTACGTTTATTTATGGGTTTCTGTGAGTCCTTTGCATTTTGTACATTTTACTTGAGGCTGTCCCAAATCTGATAATGCATATAATATCTTGAAAGCTTGTAGCAGTACTGAGGACCCTATCACTTACATCAGTGGAGATCTAGGCATGAACTGTATATGCAGATTTCTGAGAATAAACTCTGGGGAGAGACAATATGAGTCAAGGAGAAAGGGATCTTTTAGGGTGACGCCTAAGATTAGATCACATCCATGAGAGCTCAGAGCTCTGGGCCCTGGCTACATGGAGATGATGTAGAGTTGGAAAGGATAACTAACATACTGAATAACTGAATCAGGATCCAAAAAAAAAAGTATCAACAGGCTAGAATGATGGGGCTGAGTCTAATAAGATGAAATTTAATAGGAATAAATGTAAAGTCTTAAACTTGGGTTCTAAAAATCAACTTCATAAGCATGTACTCTGACTCCCTCCTGTCCTTTACCTCTTTGCATTCTCTAAATGCCTCAAGGTTCAAAGTGACTTTTTGTATTACCCTAATTATGTAAATAGGGCAGCTGTTAGGAAGACCTGAGTTCAAATCTGGCCTCACACACATATTAGCTGTGTGACCCTGGGCAAGTCACTTAATCTTGTTTGCCTCAGTTTCCTCATCTGTAAAATGAGCAGGAGAAGGAAATGGCAAACTCCTCTAGGATCCTTGCCAAGGAAACCTCAGATGGGGTCATGAAGAGTTGGATACAACTAAAATGCCTAAACAACAAATTATGTAAACGTGGCTCAAGGTCCATTCATCTGTAATCCACTCATGACTCCTAAACCAGCTTTTCAACACCGGAGTAGATATGGTGGCTGTTCATAGTCTACCAATGTTACTTCATTACATAACTAGGCAGTACTTTTCAACGCAGCTGTGCTTCATTGAAGTTACTTCTATAAAGTACACAAGGATTATTCAACAAAAGATACATTGTCATTTAATACACAATGATATAATGTTTACTTGAATCCCCTCTTGTACTGGAAAGCCGCCAACAAGTTGTCCTAAAAACCTAGCCTCCTAGTAGAAACACTTAAACAATGTAATCTACTATTACTTGTGTAAAGCATCAATATAGCCATGATTCCTAGTTGCAAGGCTACAAGTGGAAGCATTTTAATCACTGTAAATTACTAGGGCGATAAATTGAAAGCTCAGGACTTCATGCATTCAAGCTGAGCTCTGCCCATAGTTCCATCTTTGGGCCCCCTAGATACTTTCAGGTTCAGTTTGGAGGATTTGGGGCAAACCTTCAATTGAGTGCCAAGATCAGAGCTGAGAGTGTCTACTGGACTGGGGATTCAAGCTAATGAGAGGGGAAAGTCAGCATGAGGAGTCCAAGGAGCCCAGCATACAGCTACACCACACTGAAGGGGCACTTCACGTAGGTCCCATGAAGGAGAACAGTGGGTGAAAGGAGTCCTAGGTGCTCTGAGCTTCCCCTTTCCCATATCATACGTTCTAAGCTGGAGCTGACGAGCCCTTGGACCCTGCAAGCACTTGTGGGGAAAGTGTCTCTGACTCTTGGTGAAGGGTAAGGGGGGATATTTTGTGCCAGCTATTTTTATTATACTAACTTGGTAAATACCCATTTTAAAAGATCTAAGTTGAGCTAGCTAATTAATACCAATTGCTAATCAATGAGAGAATCACACCCATGGGAGTCTATGAGCTTTGATGCCAGAAAAACACCCCCAGCTCCTCAGGGTTTCCTAGAATTCAGAGGGGAACAGCATGCAGTGGACTTCTGGACACCCAGTCTGTCAGTACGAGGACAATGAGCCTGTCTGAGCCCATGCTACACAAAGAACAGAAGACAGGCATGCATACAACATTTCAGATATTCACTAAAAAGTACATGATAAATTCAGTGGGTAAGTTTCAAAATTGACCTGCTCGTCTGGGTTGCCCTTTAAGGCTTCT